TTTGGTCTCTGCTCACTTGGTTGGTTCTTGAAAATGGAACCCCTGTGGCAGTGGCTGCTCCTCTCAACTGTGCCATCATCTGCTCCAACCAATCCACGCGTCGTCAGCAAACCATAACCATTAGTTTTGCTTCGATTCAGGATCACAGAAAGTTGACATTACAGTAGAAGAAACATCAGCAGTCGCATGGCTCTGCTTTTGTTCTTCATGTAGCCACCATGGGTGTTCCACAATGGTTGCTGTGGTATCCACGAGTGGTGTCATCACTTAGATGTCTGTCCGGAGTTGCAAAGATGTGGAAAATGTACTGATGTTGACTGAAGGAAAGAAAGGCTGGGCAATAGGAGAAGGCCAACATATGCAACATACTATTCTTGAACTTGGATTTTCCATCCTTTCCATCTGAATAGCGAGAGTGAGATGATTGATGGACAACAGGAATCATCTTTGGAACTCGAAACTTAATCATCAGTATCTCCCCCCACAAATCTAAGTAATGAAACCAGTATTAATTACATATAAAACAATCCAACTGTGAGATACCAACCGATCGGGTTACATTGGAAGGGGAAAACTCGAGTTTCACAAACGTATTCTAACCATGAGAAGAAAGCTTAACAAGACTTGTTGCCGAGAATCAAATAAGGACAGATGTAGGCTCAAACACTTTGTGACCATGTGAGGCACATCAACAAGAACGTTCTCCAGTGGGCACTATGCGAGCAGCCTCTTCTAAGCTGCACACAAGACGGTCCATGAGATCTTCCACAACTTTTGTTGGCCGCCACACAAAAAGAGATGTTCATGCATGCTTCTCACTAAATAAGCAGAATTGGTGTGATGTGTTTTAGAGAGAGAGAGAGAGAGAGAGTCTGTATGTTTATCTCAGAGGCTTACACGGACAGCACTTATAAAGGATGATACAAATTGAATGTATAATATTTCATCCTTGGAACAACTTGAAATAGGATGTGTAATGACAATTTCTGCAAGGAGTTCTTATCGAGTTCTTCAAAAGCTGCAGAGTATAAAAGTAATATTGCGACTCTTAATTCTGATATTTTAGTACGATACACAGATACAAAACACCAGCTTCTGAGAATACATAGAACAAATTTGTACTTGTATGGAGAGAGATCCAGCAAAATTAACACGTCGGTTTATTTTCGGTCAGCAACTTCGACACCAGCGGTGCACAAGAGGAGTCGGTAGAAAATGGAGAACAGTGCCGAGTAGGAGATCTCTCTCAGCTTCCTGTTTGTTCCGCAACCCTTCTTCTTCTTCTTCTTCTTCTTCCTCCTGCTGTTACGTCCGTGCATTTCATTGCCGCTCTCAGAATTCTGCTGGAGAAAAGGGAACAGAAGAGCAGCTCGCCCCTTGACTTTCCCGAGGCACTGCCGTGCCTTCTCCGTGACAGTCTCCTCCTTGGAGAAGGTGTAGCTCCTCAGGTACATCTGCCGGCAGGAATAGCTATCCACCACCATCGGACTCGGACTCCACTTCTTCCTCCCATCGCGATGGCTGCCTCTTTCACCCCTTCTTCCTGCCATCGACTTCACGAACTCGGCGTCGGACTCCGGCCACTTGTAGCTTGGTCTAACCGGCCAACGAGCGTCAGCGCAGCTCACAGAAGACTTGCTCCCGAAGCTCATGGCTCCCTCCTCTCCTCCTCTGGAGTGGAAGGCTCCTTACGATGGAGAACCAAACAAGAACCAACGAGAGGTAGATAAGGAGGAAGCATCATTCATCACGTGAACGTTTGCCTTTCTCAGTGTGTTTCTTACGTGTGACTGTGACACAGTCTGTGTATTCCTCTGGGGGAATTAAGGGTGGAAAGATTCACATGCCACGAATTCGTGTACTCATCACTAGAGTAAGCACCATGGCAAGCATGCCACGGACTTCCAATTGCTGGCTCATCGACACCTCACTCTGTTGGCTTTGCTACAGTCATCTGTCGGAGAAAACTGAGACATTGGATTTGGGAGATGCAAACGGCTGCAAGCCACTTATTGTTATTAGTGCATGAGCTGCTCCACCTCTCGCCAGAGCACTTCCACACGGTACGGAAGGAGTAAGAAGGGGGAGAATTTGCCAGCCACTGTCAGCAACGAATCGTCTTTCTTTGTGTTATTTCTTTCTCGATAAGTTGGATGAAGCTTCCTTTATTTCTCCTTTTTCATGTATATTTAATGAGGGAAAATGATCGATAAATAACTGTTCGCAAGTCATCATGCTCGACCAGTGGTGACACTGCTGCTTCGTCGTTCTGCCGTAGAAGAGCTTCCACGATTAGAGTATACGCCACCACATCGTTACTATCATTTCTGCTGCTGTCCTTTCTCATCAAGCATAATACACAGCAAAGAAAGTTGCAGGAGAGTGCAATGTGTTCGGCGCGCCTTGAAGGGCTGTTACTGCCAGTCTAACAACGTAATTCGTAATTTAAAGGCATGTCAGTCTATTCATTTGCTCAATTCAAGTTTATTAGGAGACCAACCAAGCTCAACTTGTTTGGATGATTACTACTTTCCATTTTATATCCTCCGACCCATCACTGCATGAAGAAATTGCTTATAATTCCAGGCAGACAATGCCAACCAACAATCCATTCAACTACCAAGGAATTCGATTTCCTTTTCTTCCAGTCGTAAACCCACCGGCCAAGGTGATGAGCAAGCAATCAAAAAACAGCAGCAGATGTGGAAGGAAACTGCCATGGTCAGGTTCATTTATGCAATGTGCAGTATACAAGATACCTGCATTGTTCTCATCCTCCAGATTCAAGACGTCATCGACAAAGCAGGGCATTGCTCAATCACCATAGCAGATGTCGGGATGTATGTGTGAATCAGCTCTGTGATAAATTAGATAAAAATGGCAACCTATCGAATATAGCAAGAAGAGTGGTAGTGTTGCTTGAGCCAGAACAGATGGCTGCCACAGACCGCTAGCTCTCAATCTCAACGTCTGACATAACCTTTTAGTCCATGTGGTAGAACTATACAAGGAAGATTTGTCAAGGCCCGCCTTTTGTGCTTCTTCAAGTCCAAGTTAATCTTGTCAGCAAGAACTATACAAGTCAGTGTGGTTCCAGAACTGTACAGCAGGATTTGTTATTAAATGACCAGCAGGCAGCCTAGTCACCGAAAATGACACATCTCACTGTTAGACTCTTCTCCTCTTTAGCCGAATGTCGTTAAAACTATCGTCACGCCATGCTGGTCGGCTTCGGTTTCTATAATCTTCTTGTTCAGCCATACTTCTTGATCTGTTTGTGGTGCTTCCCAGTTGATTTTTCATTCGCATCACAGGGCTCCTTAGGCTGACTCTATTGGAGAAGCCTTCTCTTTTGGGGTAAAACCTCACAGCTCTACCAGGACTACATCTAGCAGGACTACAGTCACCAGGATAGAGAAAAGGCTCCTCGCTATCACCACCTACGGGGTGGTGATCTTCATAAGACCGTTGATAAGAACAATTGTCATCAAACTTCCTTCTAGCCAGAAGCTCATCTTCTGCATGTGCAAGTGGAAGAGGCTGGGCAAAGTGCAAAGATCCAAAGTAATCCTCTGTAACTTCTTGTTGATCACTCAAATCAAACCTCCTGATGTTCCTTTGAGAGCCCCTACCAGGCCTTGGCAAATCCAGTTCTTGCATTTCTCTCATGTCATTAGGCAGGCAAGAGTGAGGCAAATCATTTCTGACCATCGCATATTCTGGTAAACAAAGGCGTCGTGGAGGTGATCGCATCTGGTCAATTTTGACAACTGGTGGCGACCTGTGTTGCATCAATTCCGGATGTCCCCCGTAACCCATGTCAGGTGATCTTCGAGGTGGAGAAAACTGATAAGGAGAGCGCATTCGGGGAAAATGTATGGGAGTACCCCTCCTCTGAGTAGGTGAAAGGCTTCTTTCTCTCCACATGGAATGATTCTCAGCTTGCTCATATTTCACACATGGGTCTGCATATAAAAAGGGGTCTATCATTTCATTTGGCAAGCAACTGATGGGAATGTCTGGAACATGTCTCCCAGCGGACCTGCTGGGACTGACTTCCCTTGAGGGGCGGCCAGAAATTTGAACACCTCTATCACAGGCCCCAGGAGAATGCCTCCTATATGGAAAACGAGTCCTATGTGGTTGCTCATCATCCATGAATCTTCTGAAGCTCTTACCAGTACTTCCAACAGAAGCATCCGCCACAATTCTCAAGGGACCCTCTTGGTTGCTACAAGGCCTAAAAAATCTGTAACCTTTTGAATCGTTAACTTTTGGTGCATATCGAGGGCCAGAATCTCGACCATAAACACTCATTTGGTTGCCATCCCTTCTGGTGTTCACCAAACCATAACTACGTTTTCGAGTCGGTTGATCTTGATCATTGCTTCTGTATTTCAGAAACCTATGATTGCACCTCTCACCCCTGAAATCCAAGAAGAGAAACATAAACATGACCTGCAAATTGCAACGTAAAATAAATCCAGAAAGGAGAGACTAGAGAGGACCATCACCTGCAACCTTGGGAGTGTGACCTCTCCCATCTGTGTGATTTATCGATCAACCGTACCCTGTCAGTTTGTGAAATAACTAGCCTAGAGGAACTCAATTTCATCTTTTCAAAGGATGACTTGTTGGTAACTAATGAACTTACCTTCCTAATCTGATTAGATTTACCCATATTATCAACATGCTGATCAGCAAGACCATTGGTATCTAACTCCAGCTCTGATGACAACGGATTACTAACAGGTACATCAGCCTCTTTAGCTTTAACCTGTTGGCTACTTATATCGTCCTTGCTAGTTTTCACAACTTCTGAGCTGGATGATCCAGCAGACCTTGACTTTATGAGTGAGCCTTTTACCTTCCTATTTGCTTTTTCCGATGGTTTTGTAGGTCTTGTCCCACTTGAAACTGTTGGCACCCTCCCACCTGATGACTCGAGCAAATCAGTTGTTAAACTAGAGCCTGTATCATTTTTATCATTGCACAAATTGCCATCAGAAGTTTCATCACTACGACTAGTCCTTGCATCCGAAACTTGTAACTGTGTTTCATTACTGACCACCAAAGTCGATGGCATCTTGAAAGTAACATCCTCTGGGGCAGTTGAGCTGGCAGCAATCTTACTATCTGCTTTCTCTCGTTCCACACTGGAAGACTCGATCGCGCCATAAGGGACAAGATCCCTGTCTTTATCTGCTTTCTCTCCTTCATCGCAGGAAGACTCAATTGCCCCATGAAGGAGAATATTCCTGTTTTTAAAATCACCAGTGTCAGCTCCATGTGTAAGAACTTCATCTCTATGAAAATGAGGACTATCATATGGGGATTGACTGTCGGCAGAATTTTCTTGAATCTCAGAAGATACACCCATGCTTTCCTGCTTTTTCTCACCTACTAAAGTCTCTCCTGCGGAATCCAAATGAAGTTTACCTTCTGCAACCGATTTTGATGATATGTAATACTCACCATCTGAGCAATCCAATTCTGCACTACCTTCAGACATACCATCCAATGCCACAGGTCCGGCAGATTCATGATATGGATCAGAAGGCATGCAAAAATCTTCAGAATTTACATAGCCCACCAGGTTCTCCTTAACACCCAAAACGACAGAATCTGCATTTAGATCTGCTCCCTTTGTAGCACTTCCTTCCTCGTGTTCAAGATTACAAGTGCTATTAAGTGTCTCCTCAACTTTACAAGATTCAACATAAGATGAATTTACAACAGAAGCTGAGGCCACACAAGTTCTTTGATCTGTGTTTATGTTTGTATTAACAATCATCACCGAGCCATCAACTTCACAAACCTTTTCAACAGGAACAATGACAGAATTTAAATCTATGGCTTCAACTGTACCTGAGACTTCCATATGCTGTGTTGGTTTATTGTTGTCCGACTCTGTGTTGAGCATTCCAACAGCAGGTCTATTGTAGAACTCTCTAGATTGATCTTTAGGTGGCTCCATTTTTACTAAACTCCTGGCTTCTTGTTTCTGGTCACTGGCAAAAGTCTTTTTGGCAGTTTCATCCTGATAATTTTGGTTACTTGGTTCAGGTTTTACATGTCCTAAACCTACAATATTTGGTTTACCCAGATGACAATATTTGCCTGTATATGGTTCTGGCTTTATATTCTTAGATGAATTTGATACATTTCCTCTCAAAGACAAGCTTAGATCAGGAGCAACAGCACTCCAATTAATGCATAATTCTGGTCTGCCCGGGGGTTTAAGCTGCAAATCTAATCCAAGATCTGCACTCTTATGCTTTTCAGCAGGCATCCCTAAATTGGATAACCTCTGATCGTAATGACCTCTCCCAGAAACAGACTTTGCCGGCGTTACATCAGACCCATTAATTCTCAGAGGAATTGTCTGTTTAGTGCATGCCTCAAGCTTTTCTTGACACTTATCACTGTCATTCAACACTTTGTGCATATTACATTCAATAACAGATCCATTCACAGCAGCATCCCACACATTGACCGGAATATTCAAATCCAAATTTAACCTGGTCACACTGTTAGCAGCACAAACCTTTGCATTTGTTTCACTAAATGTTTTCAGAGGAGCCAGGGGAAGATCTGACGAACATGTTTCGGCTCTCACTTGATTAACCAAGTTGTGTGTATTATTTTTTGCATCTAAAGATGATGTCAATTGCCATAGAGAATTTGGTAGGTATGCATATTTAACACTTGAAGATTTCATTTCAATATCCTCCTTATATGCAGGTGGCTCAGGCAGTATGGTAAAAGTTGGATGAGTTAAATTATCTGTAGTAGTAGATTCTGGTTCAAGGCACATGGGCCCACAATCTTGTCCAGGTACATCTGGTTCTTGAGGAATAGGAGATGAATGTTGAGTCAAACGAAATAGCCTTTTCTTGATAGGCACACCTGACATAGAGTTGCTAGAATTGCGAGATGTAAGATCATGTCCAAACTGCCAACAGAAATATCAAAAGGTTAATTCTCAAGAAACATCATGTCTCTACACAGTTTATACTCAATGCATCATAAGAAAACCTTATTATTGTCTGATTCTGGCATATCTTCAAATTTTTCCTGGACAGAATATCCTACAGTTCTCTTTGATGCAGTGGAAAAAGGAAATGAAGCACCTGAGATTCACTGCCTGACATAATAGCAAAATGGTTGTAAGGAAAGAATAAAACAATTAAAAAAATTATGAAGCAGCAACAACCTAATTTAAGTATTAAAATTTCTAAGAAAGGTGAAATCTGGCAAAAAACTTCCATAGCCCTGACCTGGGAAGTCTAGATCAATTCTCTTGATTCAAGGACCATGCAATCAACAGAACAAGTAAATATGAGATAGCCAAAGGATATAATTAACCTTATTTTTCTTTTGCGTTAACCACCAATAATCAGCTAGAAGATAAGGCCAAATTCAATTTGACAGTTCATATGTGTTACGGAGATTTATTTGACTTGAAAGTTTAAATGAGTTCGAGTATCAACATAGATTTATCAAAGAGTTATCATGACTTGAATTCCCCAATTACATTTCTGAGAAAAGATGCCCGCTAGTATCAAGGCCACTCAACTGAAGATGGCATGTGATGTTTTCTTATCTCCATAATCCTTGCCATTCAGCAGCCCTGTTTTTATTCTCTTAAACCATTTAACTGCACAAGATGAAATATGCATTTACAACACAAAATTTTACATGCTTTCACACCGAGTAACCTGTAAATGTACCAGTTACTTCATCATCCACACAAAGCTGACAGTATAATGTATGTTTTTTCATGCAAACCTTCCAAAAGTAAACAAGGAAATGTTTCCAATTCTCTAGAATATGAACTGAACCAATCAATGGTTCCCTGTGTTGTCTGTCTGCACTCGCATCTAACAAAGGGACAGTATACCGTATGTTTTCTCATGCAAACCTTCCAAAAGTAAAGAAGGAAATGTTTCCAATTCTCTAGAATATGAACTGGACCAATCAATGGTTCCCCGTGTTGTCTGTCTACACTCACATCTAACAAGGGCATGAGTTGTTGTTGTGTTGTCAAAATAGCACGCAAAAGCTGACATTTGCTTAATCTGATGAACAATTTAGTAACCATGGGCTATAAAACATAAATCCAACTATAAATTCTCAAATTTCCTGCATAGTTCTTAACTGAAACTTCTAAATACCTGCAATCTCAGAAATGATAAACAACCAGTAGAAAACAAAAGATCAAGGTCCTGTATTGACCAATAATGTAATTAAGGTGTCCAAGATTTTCTGTTGCATTTACTAAAATAATTGTGCCTTTGCCACCAAAGATCTCAGAGAGAACGCCGTTATATAACTCCAACAAAGCCGAGAACATGGAGACACACTAAATGACAACACAAGTCATTAACAAAGTAGTATCAGAAGCACAAAAAAACTGAGATGTACCAGGGCGCCTTTAAGGTTATAAAACCAAATTATTTATCGTAATTAAAAATTTCCCCAAATCTATTTCGTTACTTAAACGTTCAGACCATATAGCAGAGCTCCGTGAAGCTTTTCGCCCAACAACTCCTCCACCTTAGACAGATGCAGTACTACCAGAGAGGATTAACGAGTGATGCCTTTTCTTAACCCAAAACCACAATCTTTAGTCATATTTCCAGCTTCGTAATCGATCAACAACACAATTATCACGGATCAAAAAACAAAGCTTCCTTCTGTTGGCCACTTAGAAAAAAAGAATTTTCCATTCAGATAAAGAGCAGCCGCAGCCACCACAAAGGCCCCTCCTTTTTCTTCCTTCTAGTCGACAAAACGCCACAAGCTGATCTCTTGATTTTGTCAAGCAGCCAGATTTCAAGGATAAATCAGTCAAACCAATCGGCAAAACTATCACCATGTGTCTACAAACACTCCGCAAATATCGGTCTTCGATTGGTCAGTGAAAATCACCACCAACACCATCTGCAGGATATGACTTCACAACGTCAACAATCCCAGATCCAGGACCGCGGATGAGACATCAGGCGCCCACCTTCCACGCCCCAATCTCAAAGACTCCCAACTTTCCGAAATAAACACTGACAATGAAGACCCGGAGTGGGTTCAGGGTGAGAGAGATCGATTCATTCGGTCATCCGATCCGTATCCACATATTTCATGAAACCAGATACTCTTTCTCAAAAAATAAACCACAAAATCCAGAAAGAAAAGGAGAAAGAAGAAGAAGAAAAGGACAAGAGGAGAAAGAAGAACAAAAGGATCGACTAAAGCGAAGAAGGACATAATCGGCGTTACCTGACTCGATGACACTCCACCCAGAGAAGGAGAGAAAAACCGGCCGCCGCAACGACGAAGCGAGGAACGAAATAGATGATCCCGCCTCGAGGGTTTCCGCGAATGTTGCATGCCCTTTCGTGGGTTTCCCCTTCGTTTTAAAGACCGTGGTGTCCGGTCCAACACGGATCTTTATCACCTTTAAAATTACGTACCCCCGGAGTTACCTTCCATGCGATTGGCGACGGTGATCGCAAGGCAAGCAAGGGAAGGGGAAGAGGATTGTTATTCCCTGCACATGGTGGGGTGAAGCATAACGTGGTTTACCGGCTTAAGGTTCGGTAGACGCGCTGGCAGACGTCCATGTTACGACACCCGTCCCCGGATTCCGGGCCCCCAAGTCGTCTCCGCGGTGACAAGTCGCGTGGTAGGCCCCGGGGAAGGGATAGGTGTCCATCTCATCTCGACTACGGAAAGCAGCGGGAAACTTCCCAGATTTCTTTTCCTTGTAATGCGTTGAAATTGGCGTTAAAGCTGAGAGCGACGTGTTTCTTATATTTTCGGATAAAAAGAATAGTGCGGTACTACAGAACTCGATCACAGTACAAACAACACAGAGCACACGATTATTTCGTGGAGCACTGTGTGTTTATTTCGTGGAAGGTTGGAATCGACTCTTGATAAGTATTTCAAATCTAATAGTTCTGATGTAACTATTTTACTCGATCAAATTGGTTCAAGGTGTGACTGAACACCTAAACTCAATCGAATTAGGCGAACAGGATTTAAGCTGATTGAAATTGTTTAGGCATCCCCCGAGTCTATACATAACCCAACAGGATGCACAGAACATTATCTTTAAAAGATATATCCATCAGTGCATCTTTGAATGAATTCGTGGGCAAGGAATTAAAACAAGGAATAAATGAACGGCAGAAACCATCATTACCTGCTAGAGGATCGATTAAGCAACCTGGTAAAAGGAACTGCGGCAACAAGTTCCAGGTCTCCTTTTAACAAGAAAAGTTATGGTCCCCTGTGGATATCACAAACTAAGCAACCTCATAATAAATAAGCATCTCCCCAAGTCTCAGACGATATTAAACAACCCACAATTGTAACTAAGTTTCAGTGGGATCAGCAGCAATGGTAATAAAAAACCAGGGTTCCACGCAACCGCTAGAAACCCAAGTCAGCTTGGAGGAGACTCGCTGCCCCTGGGTGAAGCATAACGTTTGTTGTCACCGGCGGAGTCCCTGGGGCTAGGGCTTCCCCCGTTAGCGGCCGGGCTCTCATACCTCCTGCTCCGAGGACTCTCCCTCTCCCTCTCTTGGCTCATAGGACTCCTACTGTGACTCCTGCTGTTTCCCCTCCGAGGACTCTCCCTCTCTTGGTTCATAGGACTCCTGCTGTTTCCCCTCCGAGGACTCTCCCTCTCTTGGTTCATAGGACTCCGCGGGCTTTGATCATAGTCGGCAATATTGACCTCAGCTTCCTCCTTTGGTGGAGGGCTTCTGTACCTCCTGCTCCGAGGACTCTCCCTCTCTTGGCTCATGGGACTCCTGCTGTGACTCCTGCTGTTTCCCCTCCGAGGGCTCTGATCATAGTCAGACCCATTGCGCTCGGCTTCCTCTTTTAGTGGAGGGCTCATCCTGCCCTTTGGGCTCCTGCTACCATCAGGAGAGGGGCTGTGTTTCCTCTCCTTTAAAGGTGGACTCTTCCTCGGGCTCCTGCTGTATTGCGGACTCCTTGATCTCCAACCATTCTCACGGTCTACACCTCGTCCATCTCTGCCAGGAGATCTCGAACGGCTGAAAATACGAGGTTTAATTCTCATAAATACTATGGCACATAAGCAACATAACAAATGTAATAAGGAGAAACTTCTAATCAAGTTGAACTAGCATATGAGAACTTATTGTAGAAAATAATCAACACAAACAACCAAAAAGGTACACTAATACTATGGCACATAAGCAACATAACAAATGTAACAAGGAGCAAACTTTTAATCAAGGTGAATTAGGATACGAGAACTTGTTGTAGAAAATAATCAACACAAACCACCAAAAAAATACAATAGTAATTGTAATTGTCACAAGTTACAATAGTAATTGTCTTAGCTAGTTACAATAAAAATTTATGAGTCTTAGCTAGCTCCAATCCCACTGATCTGAATGAACTGATGTTGAGTTTTTGCACTGATACAATATTGTGACATGTAGAAGACTAGTTAATATATTCTTTTCATATGTTGCTCTAGTGTTGCTTAGAGGAAATATAAATTAAGCTCACAAAGCACCATGAGATAAGCTCCAAAAAAATACAAAGCACCTCCCACAAAAATATATAAAATTATATATTCATGCTATGATATGCTGCCCCCCAAAAGAAAAAGAAAACAAAAAAAATAATTGATCCATTGAATAGTAATATAATTATATAGGTAAGTAGACACTAAAAAACGAATCCAAATTAAGCAAGTGAACTATCTACCAAGAAATCAGGACAACTATGGAAGTGGCAATACACATAATACAATCAATAGGCGTAAAGAAAGCACCTCAATGTCTATTTCAATAGCAACAAGGTAAAAAAATTGCATCTTAATCACTATACTTGGGTCATGTGATTTCAAAATAAATGTGAAAACACAGAAGCTGCCATATAAATAAATGCAACAGTCTATTATAGTTCTTTAAATTTTAGGTAGAACACCAATTTGATTAACCTACAATCCATATCGTTTACCTGTAACTGCGGCTTCTGCTATAGCTTCGACTCCTGCTCCTACCACGGCGAGAAGGTGATCGTGAATAACTTCGCCCACGTCTGAAATGCTAACAAGTGTCAATTATTTGTGAACCAGATGAAAGCATGCAAGATATCTCGATCATGATGATAATGAAATACACTCCATGACCTCAGATTTCTAGGACTATTCTGGCAATTTCTTTCAACATGACCTCCCTCTCCACAGCGATAACACCTGTTTTTCCAGTCTCCTGCTTTGCAGTCACGAGCCCAGTGCCCATCAATTCCACAATTGAAGCAGCGGCCAGAACCAGGAGGAGGTCCTCTTCCTGCATGGTCACGAGAACCTCCAGGTCCACGAGGACCCTGCATCAATAATTGAAGGTTTTAGAGTTTACATTAGCATGAACTGAAGTGGAAGTTCAAGAAAATGTTATGATGACAATATTACCCATGACACTGAAGACCAAGCATACTAAACATATAGATTACAGTTCATAAATCATTTACTTCTTACCCCCCTTGCAAATTCCACTATAATACGACTTCCATCAAACTCTCTTCCATCTAGACTGTGTCTCGCATCATCAGCATCTCGAGGATCACTGAATTCCTGCAATATGACAAGCAAGGACAAATACAAGGTGGACTCATTTGAACAATCTAGTTAGGAATGACTAACAAACATAAAATACTTCATGAGACCATCAACACAACTAAAGTAGTTAAAACTTTAAGAAGGGTAGTTGAGTTGTACATACAACAAAGGCGAAGTCACGCTTCATATCCACATTTCGTACTCTGCATAAATGGTTGCCAGAAAGAGTAAGGCCATCAGGACTTAAATACCAAATGGTATGTTACTTCAGCCCTCAGAAGATGAACTAAACACCACTCGGTAATGTGATTTCCAGAAAAACACGCTATGGCACTAGAGAAAGAATCGCCAAAGTCTCCTATATACTTGGAAGGATAGCCATCAAATCCACCAAGGGCACCCCTCCCACCAAAGACCTCCAAGTCGGGCAAAAAACCCAAAAACCTTCAACAAGATCATTCAAGTTAAAACACACATGAGGCTGGGTCGGTTCAGTGTTTTAAAAAAGACACTAGAATAAGAATTTAGGCTGCCTAGCTCACCACACCTTAACAAGCCACCCACTAACCAATCTGAAACATTCTAAGCTGCAAACAAAAAGAAATCCAGAACCAACAAAGAACAGAATTCAAATAGTTTCATGACAGAATGAAAGTTTGGACCGTGCGTATTTTTGGTAGATGCAAGATATTTTATGATGCCAAAAGCCATGGTAATTGTAAAGGCATCAGCTTTCAGGCATTTTTAAACACAGGGAAACAAAAGAGTGAATATATATTAAGCCCATGACAAGTAGAACATCTGAATACTAGCCACCTCCAATGTGCTTTACCACATCACAAATAATAATTATCCTTTTATGGTCAATTAAAATTTTCATCTTGGATATATTACCTTCCATATCTGCCGAAAAGGTCTTCAAGATCACGGGAACGGGTTCGATATGATATTCGACCAACGTACAAACGTGTGTTACCATGGCGGTCATCATAGCGAGGCATCTTTGTACTGCCACAAGTAAAATGGCCAACATGTCATCTCATAAGACCAAAAGACATAGCGAGGCATCTTTGTACTGCCACAAGTAAAATGACCAACATGTCATCTCATAAGACCAAAAGACAAATATAAAGAACGCAAAGCAGAAAATCTCAGCAAAAATATGTAAACAATATATGATCACAAATCACAAGTAAATGAAAATAATAGTTGGTAAAGCATCCTACCACCAGTATCGTCATGGTTTTGTGTTAATCTAAATTAGCATCAGCCATCTTTTCCATCATTCTTAACACATGAATAAACACATGCTAGTGCAGAACACTATGATACAGTATCATATTTACCTCACACCAACATGTTCCAGAAAATGCAAAACCACAATTATGATTATCGCCCCATGATTGGTATCATATAACATTTCTGACAAAACATTAGGATATAGTTTTAAAAATTTGTCTCCATTTGTTTGACATTACCTTTTTTTACAACGACAGACCCAAATTCAACCACTTACATTCACCTTTTATACGACCTTCGTTCATAATCTAATTACATTATTTTATATGGATAAAATAATGCACTGAAACATATCATCAAAGAATGAGGATTTACAACTATACATTGCCAAGATATGATTGTTTCAACAATATCTAGAGTTTTCCTCAAATCATCAACGCTTAAAGTCAATCCTAAGCTGCAAGCTTGTCACATGTTATGCTACACAAACCAGTGATATACATACATGACCTTATGTGAGAGACTAGTCACTCAGAAGCTTCTTATCTAATCATTTTTTCAAGCTTTATTGACCTAAGAAGCGTTGAAAACAAGTACTCTACCTGCTCAAGTATGACGACTCAGTATCTCACATAAGCTTTATTGACCTAAGAAGCGTTGAAAACAAGTACTCTACCTGCTCAAGTATGACGACTCAGTATCTTCCTTATAGGAATAGTTTCAAATAACTTCTCAACATTATCTGAAACATTTTTTATTTACAAAGACCAAATGCTTCATGGTACCTTAAGGCCCAAGTCCACCCATGCCACAGGTAATATAATTGCTATTTCGAGTAATACAATTGACAAAATTGACCAAATGATGAAGAAATTAAAGGGATGCTAGCTTTATTGACCTAAGAAGTGTTGAAAACAAGTTCAATAGCTGCTCAAGTATAATTGCTATTTCGAGTAATACAGTTGATAAAATTGACCAAATGATGAAGAAATTAAAGGGATACTAGCTTCCATGACTCCATCTACGAGAATCTTTTATGAGAGGTACTAAGTATTCAGCAGGCACATCAACAAACCCAACCATCTTCATTTCTCACCATTTTAGCATGATCTAAACTTCAACCCTCAAAAAATAATCCAAAAGAACCAACCATTTTTCCTCGCTCTGCTCAAATATGAGACGGGCATCACAACCTATCAAATCCACATGGGTGAATCTTTGACAAAAAGGAATAGTCTAGAAATTCAACAGTTCCGCTCCTCCCGTTACCTCAATCAAGAAACAAGACTTACACCAATCAAGATTCCCTCAAGATAAGGATAAAGTTCAGGGATCGGCTAAAAGATACACCTTTATACCTTCAACAATCAATCACCTTTTTTATAGCCTTTTTAGATATGACATAAAGCAATTCTACAATCAAACTCATGTAATCTACAACAAATAAAGAAACTAAAAACAAACCATCTCGCCGATTTTAGGGAAAGTAAAACCAAGACTTACGATCAAGATTGCAAGAATCACGATCGAGTAAGAGAAACATCTACATCCTCGACTAAGGATTACGAATAGAGAGATTTACCAGGAACAATAGAAGAAAATAAGCTCGGGAAGGCAAGAGAGAGAGACCGTTACCTTCGGGTCAGAAAAATGAGACTACAAAACCAACCATTATGTCGTTCTCGCTCTTCTTAAGGTAACAAAAAACCAAGACTTATCAAGATTCCAAGAATCACGATCGACTAAAAGGGAAACATCTAAATCTTAAACTAAGAGGATACCAATAGAGAGATTTACCTTGGAACAACAGAAGAAAATAAGTTCAGGAGCGCAAGAGAGAGAGAGAGAGAGAGACTTTTACCTTCAGATCGGAGCAATGAAACTACAAAACCAACCATCTGTCTTTCCGCACTTTTTAGGGCATGAAAAACCAAGACTTGTCCCGATCAAGATTCCGGGAACACCGTTCGATTGGAAGAGAAACATCTATATCCTCCAACGAGAGGATACCAAGAGAGAATTCTACCACGAAACAACAGAAGACAAAATCGGGGGCGCCAGAGAGAAAAGATGTTGCCTTCGGATCGGAGAAACCAAACTACCAAACTATCCATGTGCCCTCGCCATTTTTAGGGCAAGAAAATCCAAGACTTACAACGATCAGATTCCAAGAATCGCGGTCGAATTAAAGAGAAAAATCTATATCCTCGACTAAGAGGATAGAATAGAGAGATTTACCACGGAACAACAGAAGAAAATAAGATCGGGGGCGCAAGAGAGAGAAGAAATTACCTTCGGATCGAAGAAAAAAACACAAAAAAAATCAGTCTTCTCTCCTTCTCGCCCTTTTTAGGGCAAGAAAAAAACCAAGACTTACACCGATCAAGATTGCAAGAATCGCAATCATGTAGAAGAGAAACATCTTAAAGGCTTCAAGAGACAGATTTACCACGGAACAACAGAAGCAAATAAGACAGGGGCGGAAGAAGGAGAAGTTGTTACCTTCAAAGTCGGAGAGCGGCTCGACAACCCAAACACTGCGAAATCGAAACCACGCTTAGGGCTCCTCTTCTAACATTTTTGGGGGTATACATGTGTATATATAGATGTAGATGCTCATCGTCCTCCACCGTTCGTTTTCAGCGGTGGCGATGTGTCTACCGTTCGATCGAGGGACGGATGACGCCGTGAAAGGGCGGGATTAGCTGCGAAGCTAGCACAATAATTGTGGTCTTTTTGGGTCTAACGGACCGAATAAACCGGGCCGGAATAACAAATAGATCAAATATGTCAACTGTTACGGCTCGGCTGACGGCCCACATGAAACCATGGGCCGGCCACTTCAACATACCCATAGAATATTCCAAGAAAGCAGTTTGCGTGCACCAAAACTCTACGTGCGCCGCATGCAGGGAAATCTCGATACTGCTCCCGACGTGCGTTGCACCTCAACGATCTCCTCCGATCCCATTTCTTTTCCATCTCCAAAAGCCAGCGCGGCTATGTGGAATGATGGCTTCTCTAATCCTCCCACAGCCCCTCTTTTTCTCCGAACACACACCCTCGTCTTCTTCCCTTGAGTCTGTCCCTTGTTCATGCACGTCCTTTGATCCATTGCCATCAACAACATCCCGATTTAACAGGGGGGGGGAGAGAAAGAAGAGAGAGGTGGAGAGCCAGGGAGCTGAAGATGTTGCGGAGAGCTGCGAGCAATGCGTACTCGTGGTGGTGGGCGAGCCACATCCGGACGAAGCAGTCGAAATGGCTCGACAACAACCTCCAAGGTCTTGTCTCCTCTTCGACTAAAACATCCGTCTTTTGTCATGCATGGTTGAGTAATTTTCTGTTGTAGGTTGATTTCCTAAAAGAGAGTGATTGCAAGTTGTTTGATGAAACATCGCAAAGAATCTAATTGATGTCTCGAACACAGAGCTTTGCAATTGTGAAGCACTGGTTGTCAACAGTTTGCAATGGATAAGAATCGTTAGAGATGTCAGAAAGTTTGCAGATGTCATCTAAATTTCTGAACAGTGATGAGTCAAGCTGATGACTAAGTTTCTGAGACAACGCTAAATGAAAGGGCTATCTGTAGAACAAGTTGAGATCCTCTATCTTCAGATTCAAATAAATTCCAGATGTACCATTAGTTTCACATCAGCCATGGAGAACTCTGTAACTATCCTCAGAGTATGATGTTGCTCGTAGATGTTTTGCTAGCTTCAGATCCATGACAAAAAAAGGCAGCTTTTTTTTTCCGGTCATATCGAAATTGATGGTTTTCTTTTGAGTTTGTCCTCTGGTTTCCATTATAAAGGAGAGCTTTTCTGTAGGATGTACCTAAGATTGTATATAAGTTTTATGACTCAAACGAACAAATTGAAGATCTAAAGGAGAGTTGTTGTTCTACTGTCTTAATGGTGAAGAAAAAGTCCTAATATATCAAGTCAATGAAGTAATATTTCACCCTTATTTAACTGCTGAAATAAAAAAGGAGGTTGTGAAATGATTGATCACACTGGTGTTCAGGATTTCTATAAAAAGATCATAATGTTTCTTACTGATTGAAATTTATATGGGATATTCTGATCTTTTGACCTTTATTTCTGAACATTGTATGCTAGAATCTAATGAACATTGTAGCTAGATGATACTTGTGGATAATAGATATTTCTTCACAAATCCTTCTATAGTGATGATTACAAGAGGCATGTTATGAAAGTGTATTTGGTTGTGGAACTCACAAGCCATGATTGATCTTTCTGATATGACATATTTGATACTTTAAATGCAGAGATGGATGAGAGAGTAAAAACCATGCTTAAGTTAATTGAAGAAGATGCTGATTCCTTCGCTAGGAGGGCAGAGATGTACTTCAAAAGAAGACCAGAGTTGGTAAGCTTTGTTGAAGAAGCCTACAGGGCATACAGAGCACTGGCTGAAAGATATGACCACATTTCAGGAGAGTTGCACAAGGCCAACCACACCATAGCTACTGCTTTTCCCGATCAAGTCCAGTATGCCATGCTAGAGGAAGAGGATGAGAATTTTCCGAAAGCAATCACTCCCATTGATCCCAGAAAAGTTCATAAGCCAACAGTAGATGGCTTAATGAACAAAAGAAGAGAAAGCCAATCATCCCTAAAGAAGATGCAGCAAAGGAGTGATACTCCATTGAACAAGGACAAGGCACAAGAAGAGATAAGTAAGCTTCAGAAAACAATCCTAGTTCTGCAGACTGAGAAAGAGTTCATCAAAAGCTCCTATGAGGGTGGAATAGCAAAATATTGGGAGATTGAGAAGAAGATAACTGAGATGCAAGAGGAGGTTTGCTGTTTGCAAGATGAGTTCAGCACCAGTGCAGTTATCGAAGATAATGAAGCCCGGGCCTTGATGACAGCAACAGCCCTCAAATCCTCCGAGGACGCAATATTCAGTTTGCATGAACAGCAAAACAAATCAATGGAGCAAGCGAAGTTAGAGTCGGAAAGAATTAAGGCTGCTAAAAAGAAGTTGAAGGATTTTAATGGCAGGTTAGGTCGATTTCAGACTCTTACAGAGGATTCTGATGAAAATCCAGAGAGAAACTCCATCACAGTAAATGTGGAGAAGGAGACTTGTGATTTAACCGATCGGATAGAGTTGCAGTCACTGTGTGAGAAGGTTAAAGAATATCTTGAAAAGAATCCCGATATTTCTGTAGAGGAAATTGCAGAAAAAATTGATGAGCTTGTTAACAGAATAACCAGTTTGGAACTCACAATGTCAACACAAACTGCGCAGATTAGTAGACTGAGTTCAGAAAACAATGAGCTTGAAAAGTATCTGCAGAGCTTGGAAGAGGAGAAGATGATTCTGATTGATGACTCTAATGAATTGACAAACAAGTTGAAGCAAGCTGAAGCAGAGCTAAATAGAGTAGAGCCTCTTCAGAAAAATATCCAAGAAGAAGAAATTATTCTACTTCAGAATTTTCGTGAAACCTACAATAGCTTCAGGGATATTTCTGAAAAGCTGCAGGTCCCTTCACACCAAAATGATGCTCATGCTGCCAGTGGATCCATGGAGGATGACATTTCCTCCTATTGCAATGAAGTGACAGAATGTGAAGTTAAAGAAGTAACTGAAATCCATGAAATAGTTGATGAGATTCATGTTCATTCTATCAATGATGATCACTCGCAGTTGGCTGCAGGCCCTGACATCAGTAGCAATTCCACAAACACTGAGGACCTAAACAAGGGAACTGAGTCCGCGGTACAAGAGTCATCGCAAGCACATGTTAGCATTCACACAGGTACTAACCAAGAAACTCAACTTGGAGAGAAAGAGGATTCTCTCGACTTGCAACAATTACTTCTGAACACTTTAGAAGGTAGAGAAAAGATTTTGTTAGCTGAGTACACGTCAATCCTCCGAAGCTACAAAGAAACAAAGAAAAAGCTCTCCAAAGCGGAGAAGGAAACTGAAGATTGTCTTGGTGAGATGACAACACTGGTAAGGGAATTGAAGAATGCCAATTCTGTGAAAGATGAGGAGATTCGCTTACTAAAACTACAGCTGGGTTCTTCAAAGACTAGTTCAGATGGGAAGGTAGATGCCCCATTTGGAATCGAAGATTGTCGGAACGGTCACCATAAACCTGAAAGTATGTCATGCTTCCCCACATTCATCCTAGAGGAACCAAACCCTGAGTGTTCTCAGGTTACAAGAGGTGGTGTTGCAGACACAGGAAGTCCCCTTGCAGAAGACAGCAATTTGCAGCAAATTGGTGAACCAAAAGGCACTTCACCCATTGAAGAAAGGTTCAGAAGAGATATAGACGAACTACTTGAGGATAACTTACAGTTCTGGCTAGGGTTCAGTGCATCATTGCATCACATACAAGAACTCCAAACCAAATTTGAAGACCTACAAATCAGTGTTGAGAAGATGAAGGCTAGTAGTATAAGCCAAGAAGGAAGCAACAGTGATCAGGTTCCGCAACCAGAGTCTGCATCTACTGTTGCACAGCTCAGAGCATTGAAGAGTGAACTTCAAGTATGGCTGGAAGGAAGCACATTGTTAAGAGGTGAACTGCAAAGCAGATTCTCATCGCTTTGCGGCATACAGGAGGAGATCGCTGGGGCTGTAAAGGCAGGAACACAATGTGAAGATCTCCAATTTACTCCCTACCAGGCTGCAAAGTTTCAGGGAGAGGTTCTCAACATGCAACAGGAGAACAACAAAGTCGCTAATGAGCTGCAGGTCGGAGTAGGTCATGCAAAGCGTCTTCAAGCTGAAGTTGAGAGAGAATTAGCCAAACTTCATGTGCATCCTGAATGGTCTGGATCCAGAAGCAGCCATACTCAACCCTTGAAGCACTTCTCAAGTAAGGCCAGAATACCACTGAGGTCCTTCCTTTTCGGTACAAAATCTAAAAAGCAATCAATATTTGCATGCATGAATCCAGCATTTCAGCGACATTACAGTGATCTGAGGGCTGGGTTTCGTTAAACCGATGAAAGGAATCTTTCTTTGTAGTTATAATAACATTTAAGGAGCTTATGCTCTAATCTTCTGTAAGAAAATTTTTGATTTATCTTGAGATCTGCATGATCTCTGTCAGACAGTTTACTAGATCAACTATGGTGGTGATATATGGTCATTTAGGTTTTATCTAATTCATTTAAATGTCTGATAGCCAATACTGTCTCAGAACGAGTTCTTCTAATGGAAGAACATGTTAACAAGAATGAACACAGACAATAAGAATGTTAAAGATTATCTTAAATATTGTGATTTGTGATCAATGATTGGAGGTCAGTCGAAATGTAAGATTCAAAGGTCAGTCGACATGTAAGATTCACTCCCAGTAAGATAGACAACCATGAAAATAGTTACAGACATGCAGAAAAGTTGGAAGAATCAAAAGACATGCCATCTTTCTGTCAAAAGGGTGATTAGAAGTGCATATAATAGATCATAAACAGAGTAAAATTACCTACTGAAATCCACAAAAATTCTTCATTTAGCTGAATGCATCAATCAAATCTACTTAAATTCGAGTACAGAAATAGATTCACAATCTCGACAATAGAATATCAAGCTGGAAAACACCAAAAAGTTGAAGAAAATCTAAAGTAAAGCAAAGACAGAACAGAATAGAAAGCAATTCATTCATCAGAAACCAAGCCCAAGATGTCAAATCAGACGGCCAGAAGATTGAAACCCAAGAACACAGCACCTTGAAAAGCAAAAATTCAGCATTCTACATTCATCTAATTGCATCAACATCAAGTACAACAGGGACAACAAATACTTTTCCACGGTGAAAAGAAAACAGAGTTCATACTTAATCAGTGGCAAAGACCTTGTATTCCAGCTGGTAAGCTTTCGTGAAGAAAGCAGGCCAACACAAGTAGGTCGACGAGATGCTGCTGACCGTGGACGCCCCGATAAGCATGTTCATGACAACAATCTGAAGCTGGATCGCTTCCAATGGTGACGCGCCGCCCATGATGAGGCCAGTCATGGCACCTGGGAGAGAGATGAGTCCCACTGTCTTGGCGTTGTCAATGACAGGGGACAACGCAATCACCAGAGACCTCTTGACCTGCTGATACGTTGCTTGGCGAGGAGTTGCACCGAGAGCCAGCGCTGTCTCCACCTGCAAAAAAGGAGAAGAGATGACAACGAGATCAAGAGAACAACAAAGAGCAATCAGGGACGAGAGGCCGACCAGGTTCTTCTGCACTTTAACATCTTCTCGTAGCTTTTTCATGGTGACCCCGGTTACGGTCATGGCGTTACCAACCATCATGCCGGCCACAGGAATGATGTATCGTGGAGTGAAGGGGAAGACGTTGAGCACAACAAGCAGGAGCATCGTCACTGCTGTGCCAGCCAAAATGGAGATTCCAGCTATGTACTTTCCTCGAGGCACATGCTTGGCACGCTGACCTGCTGTATAGCCAGCAACAGATACCTGTAAATGCATATCGATCAGTTCGGCAGTCGGATGGCCTCAAAGCAAGTCTGTGGAGGTTCGGTATTGCTGTTCGGTTCATTTGGCTCCCACTTCACTCTAAAAATTGTATCTTTCGAACCTAAGCAGTCTAAAAATCCGATTTTTGAGCTTGTCAATTGGGAATTTAGAACCATCTCCCACAAAGAATAAGAAATGTGACGGATCTAGACCACCAAAAGCTTCGATTTGTTCCGATAGGATAACGGGATGGTACCATGAACAAGTAGGCCAGGATGATCCAGACGGCGTTCTTCTGGGTGAAGATGAACTGGAGGACGAAGCCGATGATCGAGAGCTGGAGGAAGGCGCGGGCGATGGCGTAGACTATCTCGCCCTCGAGCTTGAGCTTCTGGGTGAAGGAGAGGGCCACCGCCATGAGCACCACCGCCAGCGCCGCCACCGGCTTCAGCATCCCCCGCAGGAAGTCCATCCAGAACGACGCGTCATACGGATCCATCCCCACCATCATCCGCCAGAAAAGAAGAAGGAGAAGAAGAAGAAGAAGAAGATGGAGAGGGTTCTACTGCAGGGGAGGGAATAAAGCAGCGGGACAGAGAGGTGGTATGTGGGAGAGGGCGTTCCCAAGGGACGGGGTGATCCCGTCGCGTCGTTGACTGCGGGCGCCCCAATTATTTAGGATAAATTGCATACGTACTGCTGCCCGAGTCTACGCGTTTAATTGTCGCATTCACCCCCCTCCCGATTACGAAATTACGTATACGCCCCCGTAAATTTACCCTATTACTAAACATTGATATGAAATGAACCACTAATTTCTCACTGTTATTATTTGATTTGATAATACTTTGCTATCTTTTATTTTAATTTTGTTCTTAATTATTGGCATTAAATATTTTTCATGGACACCCATTGGAAGGGAAAAGGGGCAAATGTACAAAATGTAATTGTGGGATGGACACAGGTGCATATATGTCAAGATAAAATAATATGTGTCTCCTTCGATACCATAATAAAGAAGGAGGAGGTGGGGATCGTAAGATTCGTAGTACGGTGTGTCCCAAAGAAAATGAAGAGTGATGCGTTGGTCATTTCTTGGTAGCTCAAAGTCTTCTTCCTTTTTATTTAGTTTTTCTTCCCCTTTATTTGGTAGCTCAAGTGCTGAATCCGATTTCGGAATTGATGGTTTACGAGCGGTTCTTATTCTAATAAGTTTGAAACCAAAAGGGACTCAATTCGATTCCGATTTAGAAATCGATAGTTTTGATTCGAAACACTTCACGATCATATTTAGGAGTAATAATAATGATTAAATTTTAGATTAAATATTTTGATCAGTTCATAAAAATACGAGGATGAGATTTCATATTCATGTTCTTTTGTGTATGCACTAATAAGATCTTAGGTTATTGAATAAGAATCTTTCTTATCAATTTAGATGAAACGAAGAACAAAAACAAAGGAAAAAAAAAAGACATTCAAACCGAATAAATTAGGACAATATTCATTCTATGAGATTTACATATTCAAAATTTATTCCCATGCTTTAGGGGTTCGAATTCGGATTTTTGATGAATCAAAAAGGAAGAAAAATAATGTGGCTGTTAAATGAGCAATATCTTACTAATTTATTATTTATTATAATATAATTTAGTGATCATATGATTTATACAAGAAAATAAATATGTGGACAAATATAATTTTGCCCAATTTCTCTATACAATTTTGCACTTTGCACTTACTTCACGTAGAGAGACCAAACACTAAGTTTTTGTGTTTTTGCTCATTACTTAATTTCTCATATAATTTTAAGAAAAATAATAATTGACTCTGATGGAAAAGTATTTATGTTTGATGAATAGGACAATAAATCTAACAATGACTTGAACTCTAAATCAAATTAGTTGAATATTCTACGTTAATCATCAATCTTTTCTTCTATTAAGCATACATGCTCCCAATTAAAGAACAAAAAAGAAGAGGACCGATATTCCAATATAGACATCATGTTGTTGTCTTCGATCATGTATAGCATAAGAAAGAGGTCGATGGCGGCATTATTAAAAATTGAATCTTATGAAATATATATATATATATATATTATTGATTGATTTGCTCTTGATGTATAGTAAATTTTTCATAAGATTTAATTTTGCTAATTGATCACTTTCTCTATGATATATATGATTGAGGATATTAAAATGGTGTTTGTCTATATTAGAATATTGACCCTTTTCCTTCTTGTTCTTTACTTGGGACTTTGTATGCTTAGTATAAGAGAAAATTAATGATTGATGGGAAACATTGGACTAGTCTAACCCAATTCGGATTTGACTTGCAACAGGAGCCTCTTGATCCATATGATATGCTCCGAACGTTAGATGTGAGGGCTTAACCTACATCAAGTCCAATGTCGGATGAGGATCCCCAATATAACCACTCTAATACCTAATGATCCGAGAGAATAACATGTATACATACTAGAAAATATTCTTCGATGATCGAGAGTTAGTTTTTGTGTTGTCTCATCTATATAGCAATTTGGCATCTCTTTTTTTCTACTCTCACAACTTGATAGTTTATGAAGGGGTGAGATATATTGTGGCTAAGAAGAGCACAAGCAATAAGTACTTTTTCAATCCCTCATTACAATATTTGGTGTAGATGGTGATGGACATATCAATCCGAATGGTCATATTTGCAGCAACATTCTCTTATTGCTTTGCTCACCATAGCTCGATTTAATGAACAATCTATAAAAAAATTATAAATCTAAAACAAAGCTACGGTGGCCAAAGCAATAAGAAAATACAGCTACAAATACAACATGCGAATATGTCGACTACCATATGCAACAAATAGAGTAGTAAGGAAGTGAAAACACTTGGAAATTGTAATCTTTGCACCAACTCATGTTAATCTTTGCACCAACTCATGTTGGAACTCCATGTCTTAGCCATAGTCTTGAAAAGAGACTCCACCAAATCCCAATGTAGACAAGCTCCATATTCTACCTTCAATCACATATATCACAAAGAAGACGGTGAGAGAAGCTAGCTAGCCCACCATGGTCAGGGCTCATAAGAGAGAGAGAGAGAGAGAGAGAGAGAGGGAGAAATGATAGTGAGAAAGAGGAATGGTTTGAGCAAACTTGAGCATTGATACTCTAATTTATAGTCCAAGCCATTGTTAGATTCATTGCATCTAGAGAGTGAAAATATATAGAATATAAGCATATTTTTCCGACAAAAAGTAGATTTGTCTTTGGTGCATAAAATTACTTTTTCTTCCTTTTTTTTTCTCACAGCCATATCATAGATCAATTAATGGGCAGAAAACACATGCATTAATGAAGCATTAGTTTGGTTTTTCTATGGAAAGTGTTGAGTGTACGAAGTCAGTGCATGCACATTAAGAGATCATGTATATAAACTAGTGAGAGATGCATGCACATAAAGATCATGTACATGTATATAAGTCTCATCGTGATGAACAAATCATGGTTGCAATTAATTATCGTAAGGGGAGTATTCTGCATATAAAAGACATATTGTGACCTCTATCGTTTGTTCTAAATCTCCAATCTGAAGTGTTGACCAATTGATTCTTCCTAT